AAGCGGCGCGTGGACGGCCGGGGGCGCGGGGCTGGCTGGGCTCCCAGGAGCGGGGGAAAGCGGCGTGTGGACGGCCAAGGGCGCGGTGCTGGCTGATACCAGGGCAGCGAGGGAAAGCGGCGTGTGGACGGCCAAGGGCGCGGTGCTGGCTGATACCAGGGCAGCGAGGGAAAGCGGCGTGTGGACGGCCAAGGGCGCGGTGCTGGCTGATACCAGGGCAGCGAGGGAAAGCGGCGTGTGGACGGCCAAGGGCGCGGTGCCGGCTGATACCAGGGCAGCGGGGGAAAGCGGCGTGTGGACGGCCAAGGGCGCGGTGCCGGCTGATACCAGGGCAGCGGGGGAAAGCGGCGTGTGGACGGCCAAGGGCGCGGTGCCGGCTGATACCAGGGCAGCGGGGGAAAGCGGCGTGTGGACGGCCAAGGGCGCGGTGCCGGCTGATACCAGGGCAGCGGGGGAAAGCGGCGTGTGGACGGCCAAGGGCGCGGTGCCGGCTGATACCAGGGCAGCGGGGGAAAGCGGCGTGTGGACGGCCAAGGGCGCGGTGCCGGCTGATACCAGGGCAGCGGGGGAAAGCGGCGTGTGGACGGCCAAGGGCGCGGTGCCGGCTGATACCAGGGCAGCGGGGGAAAGCGGCGTGTGGACGGCCAAGGGCGCGGTGCCGGCTGATACCAGGGCAGCGGGGGAAAGCGGCGTGTGGACGGCCAAGGGCGCGGTGCCGGCCGATCCCAGGGGATCATGGGAGGAAAGGGCAGAGCACCTTGGGAAATGGACACCAATGACCAACGTAGCAATCAGCTGGTGAACCCCAAAGGCTCATCATGGGAAACAGAAACATGCTGCAGAGCATCATGGGAAATAGGGGCATAGAGGGCCAAGGTAGCAATGCTGGATAACCCCAGGGGATCATGGGAAATGGGGAGGGGGGCGGTGAGTGCAGTGCATCATGGGAAAGGATAGCCTAGATGCCCAAGGCAGCAACAGCGGCTAAGCCCAGGGGATGCTGGGAAATAGGAACCAAGCACAGAGCATCATGGGAAATGAAGTCCCCTGGTGCCCCCCCTCCCGCTCCCTGGTACCTCAGCTCATCCTCCCTCATGCTTTCGATGTTTAGGGGCCTCCGTCGCTCGGCCAAGATCCGGTTCTTCATCTCCCTCCCGGTCTGCCGCTTGCCCCGCTTCTGCTCGGCCTGGCGAACGGCACGGGGGGGGGGGACACATGTCAACACAGGCTCCCTCTAGAGGCAGGCCCTCTGGGGCGGCACCGGGACGTGGCCTCTCTGGTGTGGGGCCCAGGGGCTGGTTCTGCGGGGACTGCTCGCCTGGCGCTTCCATGCAGCTGCTTCTGGGGGGGGGCGGCTGGTGATTTCTAGACCATACCCCCCACTGCAGCCCTGGGGACAGCCTTGACTCCAGAGCCCCCCGCTCTCTGGGGCTGCAGCCCCCTGCAGTGTCCCCACCCCGCTCACCTTGACCAGATAGCCGCCGAAATGAGGCATGGTGGACAGAACCTTCTTCTTCTTGGCGTCGTCTTCGGCCCGTTTCTTGGCCTCCTCCTCCTCCTTCCGCAGCTTCTCTTCCTGCATGGGGGGGAGCTGTCAGCGATGGAGGGCACAGATGGGAGGGGATGCTCCCCCACCAGGCCAGGGCAGCTGGGGGGACTCACCGCTAGCTTGGCCTGGCGTTCTCGCTCCTTCTCCGTCCGGAACCGCACCTGCTCATTCCGTTCCGCTCGCCGGCGCTCCTGCCAGGGGCCCGGCCTGGGTCAGGGTGGTCGGCCACCCACAGTGCCCCCGACCTACCCTGCCTCTTCCCCACAATCGCCTGGCACGCCCCTCACACCTGACCCTGCCTGGCACACCCCTTGGACTTGACACCCACCTGGCATGCCCTGCACACCCCAGCCACCCACCTGGCATGCCCCACACAGCTGCCATTCAACCCACATGCCCACCACCCGCCTGGCACGCCCCTCACACCTGACCCTGCCTGGCACACCCCTTGGACTTGACACCCACCTGGCATGCCCTGCACACCCCAGCCACCCACCTGGCATGCCCCACACAGCTGCCATTCAACCCACATGCCCACCACCCGCCTGGCACGCCCCTCACACCTGACCCTGCCTGGCACACCCCCCCTCGTACCCCCGGGACACACAGTGGCCCCCCCATGTACCCACTGTGCTCCCCACTCTCCCTGGCACCCACAATCCTCTCCATCAGGCCGATGAGCTCCTCCTCCTCCTTCTTGCGCTGGTCAAAGTGCACGTCGATGAGTGTCTGCAGCTCCAACAGGTCCTTCTCCATGCGCTTGCGGTGAATATCCTGGGGGGAGGGACCGCATCAGCTGGGCTGGCCCCAGAGGGGAGAGCACCTCCTGCTGGCCCCCCATTCTCCCCAGGCCAGCACGCCCTGTTGAGCCCCCGCCCTGACCCCCGCCCCCTGCAGCCCAGTGCCCCTGCATTTTTTGCAGGGCAGGGCACCCCCAGTGACTCCCCATCCTGCCCCCTGCAGCCCTGCCTGGGCTCTCTTGCAGCACTCACATCAAAGTCCACTCTCTCTCCATCGGGGATCTTCGGGGGGGCCAGTTGGGGAACCACCGGCCTGCTGGGGGGGGAAGGGGGAGGAATAGGAAACATGACAAGGAGGAAAGGGGTTCACGCTTGGAATATTACAACAGCTACAAGCTCAGATCCCCTCGCTGCTCCCTGAGGTGCAGCCCCTCTGGGTGGAGCATGGGGCCTCGGTACACAGGGCCCCCACACCCAATGCTGCAATGCAGCCCCTCTGGGGTGGAGCACAGGGGCTGGGTGCACAGGACTCCTACACCTGGTACTGCAATGCGGCCCCTCTGGGGTGGAGCGCAGGGGCTGGGTACACAGTCACTTGGGGGACAGCACTTCTGTCCAGACTGTGGCATATTCTGCTCTGATTTCTTGGGTGCTAGCTGCACCCCAGGGATAAAAGGAAGCAGGGATCCCCTGTCTGACCCCCCATGGGTACCCCAGTTACCTGGGTTTGGGACGCTCCTCTTCTGTCAAGAGAACAAGAAAAACACTATTAGAGGGAGGGAAACAGCTTGCAGGGGGCTGGGGGGGACACCCCAAAACCCTTGTAGCAAGAAAGGCCCCGATACTCTGCCTGTCTGCAGCTGAGCGCCTTCACGAGGGCGGGATGAGAATTGGGGGGGTGGGGACACGGCACAGGCAGCAAACCGGGCTGTTAAATAAAACCAGAGAGGGGGGGAACAGAGGAAGAAAAATGCATCCCTGAGGAGAAGGAGAAAATCCATCAGGTCTGGGGAGCTGCAAGGGCAGGAGCAGGGAGCAGCACCGGAAATAGCCACAAAGGATTTGGAGGAGGGCGAAAATGGAGGAGGGTGGAGGGGGCAAAAAAGTCC